TTCTTTTTTAAGGCTTCAGCAAGAGCTTGTGCACCTTTCTCTCCGATCATATTGTCGGAGAGGTCGAGTCGTCTGAGTGTCTGTGTGAAATAAGAAAGATGAAGATGAGAGAAATGCAGAGAGTGGTGTTTTCTCTCATTAGATTCTTCTCTTTCGGACAGAAGAAACAGCGCTTTGTGCGTTTTCATAGTGGTGAAAATCGTTTTTCCGTGTAAAAATCTTAATGAGCGATAATAAATGATTGGATAAGGTTGTTTTGTATCAGTTGTATATTTAACAGTTACTAAAATCCTGATTTCATTCGTTAGGAAGTCTTGTTCTAAAGCTCGCCACTAGAGATTTGGCATGGATGATTCTGTGTCGCATTTATCAGATTGATGAATTACGTACATTTCGGATTTCTATGTTTTGCTACATGACAAGTTTTGATAAGTGAGATGCTCAATCGTTGAGAAAGTGATTTGATCAGAGAAAAGCAGCTTTTCATTAGTGATTGTTGTATTTCTAACTCATTAAGTAATAATAATAAGAAGAAAGCAAATTCACTTAACTTATAGATACATATTTCTACAAACTATAACAATGCTGAACGATTCTATGTGATCTGTGAAAGATTGAGCGAATATCATGGTTACGAGAAATTCTATCGTTTTATAGTCTGAAATCAGTATGTAAAAATCAACATGACAAAAGTTCAGAAACGTTTAGTTAGCATTGTTTATACAAAAACAAAGAGAAGCTTTTATTTTTTTTGAACGTTATTGATTATTAGAAAAGCATCATTCAGCCACTGATCAAGGAAATATACAATAAAATCAATTCGAACAAGCGACTATTCTCAATATATGCGACAAAAGGAAAGAGAAGCTGTTTGATCAATAGTAGGCATGCACCAATTCCAATTCGGTTCCAATTCTAGATTTGGTTGGAATTGGCTGGAATTGGAATTGGAATTGGTCGGAATTGGTCAAGAATTGGTTGGAATTGGAATTGGTTAGAATTGGTTGAAATTGACATAGAATTGACTCAAAATGTCTAGAAATCGTAGAAAATTTCATGTCATTCACTGAAACTGATCGAGGCTAAGACTAGATTAGTACGGATCACTATAAACTACTGTCTATTCCAAGTCAATTATAGAAAAAGTTTCATAACACTGGCTGAATCAGATCCATTTCCAATAATTTACGTGATCCATAATAATTCAGTCTTAGCTCCAATCAGTTTCAGGGAATGATATCAAAATTCCTACGATTTCTAGACATTTTGAGTCAATTCTATATCAATTTCAACCAATTCTAACCAACTCCAATCCCAATTCTACCAATTCCAACCAATTCCGATTCTAGAACTGGTATTGGAATTGGTTGGAATTGAAATTGGTGCATGCCTAATCAATAGTTTCTGAAAGAGTTCATAATATTGACAGAAAGAGAAAACGATTACTATATAAGATAAAACAGTGCTTATGTGGATCTGAAGAATCAAGTTTCTCATATATTAATAGACTTCCGATGAAAATATCGATCATTCCACGTGGAAACAAGCTTTTAATAGAGAAATTAAAAGATTTGTACAACAAAACGAAGAACTCTATCAAATAATATAATCATTGAACAATTCGAATTATTTCACTAACTTGAAGTTTATCAAAATGATTTCTTTATCAGATCAAAATAAATTGTTGGAAAGAAGATGAAAAGATATTAGAATTCAACAAAAACTTCTTAAGATGATAGAAAATAACAATGACAGAAAACGAGTTTTAGTTTTTTTTCGAACTGCTTATTTAGTTGTTCATCTGTGACACATCTATGTGAAAAATACGAATCATAATGTGTCTGAATGAACTTCATCTTCGGCAATTATTTAAGACACAAAGCAAATCATTTGAATATTATCTTGGAAAAAACGTTAGTAACATTTTGGTCACCATAAATATTCCTTTTCAATTCTTGGTTTCCAAAATGTAGAATAAATGACATCCATGGAAAGTGAAAGTGTTTTCAATGTAGAAATCAATTATCGTTATAGTTGTACAGCCTCTGTTTTTTTTCATTGATTGTCAAACATCTTCTCATCTAAACAAATCTTTTTATTCTTTAAACTAGATTGAAATGAAATCTATCTATTTGCGATAATCGCATCACTATTTTAAATGAAATACCGATTCTTTTTAAAATATTCTTCTACATAATACAGGTCAGCTTGACATTTTAGTAAAAAGTAAATTGTATGGTTACAAAAGTGGCTAATATTCTCAACTAAAATATTCTGTTCACTTTTAATGATCAGAGAAACAAAAATTAACTTCATTTTAAACTTAAAAGAACAGTCTGATGAGAGAAGAGATGTCGAAGCAACTGCTGTAATATTGATCTACAGTAGACTACTCAAACACTGTCTGGTTCTATGGATCTATCGACAGTGTGTCATAGGATGAATGCAAAGAATTATATTCAACTGTACCAAGCATTTTCATCAAAGTTTGCATTTCGTTTCTCTGTTTTCGTCCTCCGAACTAATTTTTCAAACAACACACTTTTTTCACATTCACATTTTGATTTCTATTGATCAATCGAAGTTAGATAAGTTGATTGAGATACTTCTCTGAATGATTCTAATTATCTATAACAATAGTTGACCTGAAACATAGAAGTTGTTGTCTTTAATAAACTTCCACAAAGATCACAGGAAGAATGTCAAAAGTGCGTTGTTCACCGTAACAAGTCTCGCATGTTTCAACAAGGAACTTCTAGTTCTACGGATGTTCTTCAACCTTGGAACATCTTCAAGAATTACTCGTTTTTGAAGGTGAAATAGATTTAGTATTATTCTTATTGACAGCTATTTACTGTCGTAGTACAAAGAGCAGAAGAATTGGTCCTATATAACTAATTCAAAAGAAAATCCTAAAGAAAATATATCTAATATAGAAAACATGGAGAAAGAGGATACTTTTGAAATATTAAAAGAACTGATTTGTATTATGACACATAGCTTAATCTAAGTTCCTTCAAGAAATTAAAAAACGATATCTCTTAGTAATCGACTGAATTTTTCATCTAAGTTCAAAAGATTTTTAAAACACCAAATTTATTGTTTTTGAACGAAAGACAACATAAGCATTGCTATGAATTTCTGTCAACTCATTTTTCTATATATGAAGTACTGTACTTCTATCGAATTCAGATCTCGTTTGATAACTTCTTTCATTGACAGATTTCTTATCTCGATGAAATGACTACAAATGGATTTTTCTTGCTTTATTGGATAAGTTGAATTCTTATGATAATTAATGAACCTGGGTCAGTTTATCTGTTTCTGCATTTTAGTATTAAGATATTTGAATGATCGATTATAATGAGTTTATGAAGAAGAAATAAGAACTATAGCGACGTAAACGCAGAAAAAATTATTAGGAGTGATTCTAGTATGAGATTTAACAGTACTATTTTGTAGAATAAGATGGGCTAGATACCAGTTCTCTTCGTTTTCTTCCCACATATAAAATAAACTTGTTAATACTCACCGTATTATTTCGTAAAAGATAATAAGCTACGATATCTATGTCATCATCCGTCAAATTTTTACTACGGAAGTCCACAGTGGATTCATCTTTCATCTCATCGATCATTTGTTCAAGTTCTTGATTTCTATATGTCGGTGGTTTTGACAATACAGTCGTTGTTGTTTTTGATTCTAAATAAATAAATACGAAAATATAAAACTTAATAGTACAACTATATGAATAAATAGAAATTTAAAATTTCGTTAGTATAATGAATTATTTCTCCAAGTACGTTTTGAAAACTCAACTAGTTTCAAAGCATATCGAAAATATGTTAGCCTCAAAAAACTAATTTTTTTCCTATTAAATTTAATACTTCTTCCATATATGAATTATTCTATCGGATCTGATTTCTTACCAAGAAAAAAGAACTGCATAGAACAGTTTATTTGATTGAATATATTTGATTTATCGAATAACATTACGATCTCTTCCATTCTTTCAAACGCCTTTATCAACAAATCAGTTGTGAAATAATTTATAACTATATTGTCAAGGTATGGCTAAACTGTTTTTACATCTAATTAATTAAAATATCAGATTGTTTGACATAAGTTAACTCTTCTGCAAAACATATGTTTGTTATCATTTCAGCCTCCTAGTTGAATCTTGTTAGGAATAATTTTCATCGATACCTCGTACATTTGTATTTTGAGGAAATCTTTATCACAGGAATGTGATCAGCACTTATAGTTTGGCCAAGGATTATTTGACTGATGGCTGGTTTTATTTCTTTCTTAAGATAAGATTTATAAGAAAAGTGTTGTTATTATTCCTCAAATGTTAGTTAAAATATTTTAATAAAAGAAATGTCTTGTATTTATTTTTCATCAATGACTCTTTGTTTATATCGTAGGAATACTTTTGATTTACTCAAGAAGAAATAAAAATGACTCACTCAAAGTTTTACTTGCTGAATTGGCATTCAAATGCATTTGATCCATTTCTGATGCAACATCTTGATCATCATCGTCATTAATTTCAATCATATGCACAATATGAGAATCATTCGATTGTTTTAATGGATTACTTTTTACACGAAACTGTGTACCTATTGGTAAGATAACTTCATCTTCGTCTTCATAGACTGTATAACCTGACACTTTCTTCCCGTTTGCAGCTTCGATCATAAAAAGAGTTGACGTTTGAGATTCTCCCAGAAATCGATTAATCACGTCAACCGATGATGAACATGAATTAACGGTCCACCATGTTAAAATTTGATTTTTCCTGAAGTTTTTTCCTATATCAAGAGAGACACCTCGCCATAGACCTTCTTTGACTGTTGGTAGTTTATCCAATGCGGTGTCGAATAATTTTAAATATGGAAACCATATTTTTAATCCTTGTCGATTTTCATCTCGTAATGCTTTATTTAAGACACGATATAAACTACTTTCATCCCATTCCATCGTGTAAATATAAATAGAAGCTGACTCATCACGTGTCAGATTATGTTCCGAAGGATAAAGACAGTATTTCTTAGCTGTTTTGATATATCGAGCGAGTTGATCAATTTGAGGTACGATAAGTTCTAATGCCTGTTCAAGTGAAACAAGTTTTTGACTATGATAACCATAAACTGCTGGAAGTCTTTTAGATGAAACGTCAACATCCGTAAAACGACTCATTTTGAACGTTCTCTAATTTCAATGAAAAATAATAATGATTGTTAACTTGAAACAATTCGCAATGGTATATCCGATTTGTTATTCTAAAGAGAAATATTACAAAAAAAGTGTTGTTGTTAGTTTTTTTCTATAAGTAATAGTATGAAAATGAAGTATTCCTTTGTTTTACGAATGCATTTGTGATGAGCAAGAGGAACTGCGTATGTGTGTCTGAGACAAAGAGATTATCCAAACCTCACACCCTCAATTTTTCGTTACTGCTTTAATGGACATTAGAGAACTGCACAAAGATAAAGTTTGTACTGTGATAGATGTGCATTGAGACGCGACAAATATGTCACGTTCTTGTGTTTTGCCTCATTGGGTAGTAAAAAATGTAGAAAACTTCTTAAACGTTATTCATTCGCAGATTCTTTGCGGGTGTGGATGTGGATTAAGAGAAGATAGATATACTCACAGCAGCCCGCACCCTCATTCACATTCTGAGTATGATAGATCAGCGATTCCGGAACTGCACGGAATCCCGGAAATCTATCAAGATGGAGGTTTATTGCGATTTTCGAATTGGTGTAATTGATTCTGTTTGCGGAAATGATTCCTGCAATGTTCAACATTGCAGAATAGGATGCATTCTCTTTCACTCATAAAAGAAAACATTTGTAACATCGATCGAACAGATGGTCTTCTGACGTTTACTTTAGTTCTTTTTTCATTGATACCAATTCTCGTTTTATCAGACTCGTGGATCCTAAACTTTATCTACTAGCACAGCTTCAATCTTCTATTCTAATAAATCTACAATCGATTAGATATCGAACTATTCAAATATTTCTCTAACTTTCATTGGACTTGTCAATTGCTTTTGTATTCTCATCATTACAGTAGCTGTTATGACATTAACACTTACTTGTGGAAAAAAAATGAATAGAAATGAAATTCAACTGCTTCTGCTGCTACTATTTATTTGTCTTTCAAAATATGGACATGAAAAAACTGTATTGCCATTTTTTTTCTATTCTGTCTCTTCCTTTCTCTTTCCACCAGTTACTGGCATTGAATCTCGCTAAATCAAACAAACTCTGTCCACGAAATGTAAATGTAACAATGAAAAAATCTAGTAAAACTCATTTAAAGAAAAAAGAACATCTCTCCTCTCTCAAGGCGTTTTTTTTCTCATTCGCGGAAAAAATGCGTTTATATTTAGATGGAGAGAATCGACGGTTGTGCTTGTAAATAATTATTTTCTGCTTGCATATGATTTTTTTCTAATAGAGAATAACATAAACATTGCCACACTTTGTATGGCTTTGTGTTTCTCTCATTCATTCCCTCTACAAAGAATAAATATCTTCCTTGCCAACAACATTAACTACCTCAAACGATGTGCGCGTTGAGTATTCATCTATACCTGCACCCAACGACACCCTCAAATTTAGTAAATATTTGTATTGACTTTTGTCAGTGTAGTTTCAAAGAGTGGGTGTGGGTTCTAGGTGAATACAGTATTCATACCCACACCCTAATTATTAATAACAAAAATTGACATGTAGAAACAATTATTTTGATTAGCTACAGAACATAGTGTAATCTGGATAGCTCAGCAATCATGTAAAATATTAAAAGGATTTAATGCTGGATTTTTCTGAATTATTTCTTATATATCTGTTAGTAAAAAATGATGTGTATGTTTTTAAAATTAGAAATTAACTAAAAGTGTGTATTTTTATTCTAATATTATCAATCATGTGATAATTGTTCGATATTTAGTTGATCTAAAATAACTTCGCCAATGTTTCTTGTCGAAGTTATAAATTCATCGACTAATGTAACTTCGACACGACATATACACAAAGATCTACAGTTTTTTATTTGAACAAATCTCGAAAAATACCCATATCATTTTATAAATCTTGTAGTCCAATAATGCATTTTGCGATAATTCACCGATGATGCGACAATCTTTTTAATAGAATTGAATAATTTAACACATTAGATAACATTGTGTAAAACGAATTTTATTTTTTTTAAATTCAAACTTATCAAGTGTGATTATGGATATTACATTTATAGCTTACACTCACATCCTAAAAGTAGAAATATTTCATTAACAAAATAGATCAAAATCGTATGCGCATAAGAATAAATATATAATAAAATATCTCTGTTTCATGCGAATTGATAGAGTACTACTCTTTGTAAAGAGCTGCTATTGATATAATTGTATAAGAATATATTTATGTTATGAAAAATCTTTCTGATCAAACTTTAAAAATGATTACAAATCAAATATATCGAACCATTTTGATATCATCCGCCTTCGAGATATTGTCATTAAAAAAGAATCAATGTCAAAATATTTTATTAGGTTTACATATTGAGTATTCAAAAACTTTACGTACGATATAAGTAGAAAAGCAAATATAAGCAAACACTCAAGAACATATAATAAAAATGAATTTGTCAGCAGAGGGATACACGATCATTTGCAAAGAGAAGAGTAATGAAAAATTGCCATGGAAACGCACATTGAGCCACGTTAACATTAACTACCTCTGTTTGACGTGTTTGTTCATTTGTTAAATGAATTCTTTTTTGATTGCAATCGATTAACAACTCATAGATAGCGTTCGGTTGAAAATTATAATTTTGTGTATGAAAGGAAAAAACTTGATTGTGATTAAGAACACTAGAAATTCCAGGCAAACTCGGTTGAATCTGATGCATAGGTTGTGGAAACCCCTGCAGATGAGGAGCATATCCAGTGTTATACATAGAGATTGCAGCTGTAGCCTGTTGATATGCAAGTACTGCATTACAGTTAATTGTATTGTTAAAAATTGATTCTATAGGTGTATTTTTTGACACAATCCCACATGAAAAACTATTAGCTGGAGTTAAGTAATCGATTTTAAAACGAACTCTATGTTGTCCTACTGAATATCCCCGTGTACATCGGGCAGCAGCGTACGCATTTACTGTACCATGTGTTACGATCTTACCATCGTCAGTAATCTGAACGTTACCCACAGTTTGATAGAAGGTACTCATGGAGCTATTGTCGATATAGATTTTTGAAATTAATGAAGTCTTACTATCATCTTGGTCGAAGTGCATTGCTTGAGCTGCATTTAAGTCAATTTTTAATTGATCAAGTTTTTCGATCCATTCGTTCAACTCTGTTTCGACATAATCATCTTCATCACGAGCTCTGCTTAATTCTTGAGTAAGAACTGCTAAATTATGTGTCACTTGAGCTCTATGTGTACAGATAATTGTTAGGATTTGTTTTCGAGTATCGTCAGCTGCCTGATGTATTTTAGTAATTGATTCTTGTTCCCATTTGTCGATCTGTTCCATTAGAGGATGACATCTAGGTTGCGCTTCTTGTTCGACAATTAATTGTTTTAACTGATCATGATTAGCACCTATTTCATCCATTTGTCTGTTTAGTTGTTGTCGATGTTCACTGACATGACGAGAACAAAATGCGTTATTACATCCTGGACAAGTTAAAACACCCGCTGCTTTCTGACATGTTGAACATAGTATTTTTGTTTTTGTGGTAGTTGCCATATCTTCAAGGTTGAAAATTCGCGTTAATAGATATGAGTGGTGAGAAAATAATCTAAGAAGAATTAACAGAAAATGAAAAAATAGCATTTTTTATTCAGCGCTATATATTTCATATCAACTTAGAAATACTTAAACAAAGTTACAAGATCGTTATGTGATAGCTAAAACGTTTAGATAAACTAGCGTTTCTCACCAGTATTTAGTAGAATAAATTGTTCTGTAGTAAAAAATTCAGCATTCATTCATGCATGCATGTCTATATTAATAATACGTTTTACAAATGAGATTTATGTCCATGATAAAATTTTGTATTGTAGTTTAAAAGATATCTTATGTCAGATATTTCAGCTAATCAAGTTGTACTGGTAAAATATAGCTGCATTGCTTCCTTCTATTATTAGGAACATACTCTTGTAACATAGTTAGATAGAAAAACACGTCGTCTGAAACCTACTCCAGAGAAGAGAATATGGAAAAAGAAAAGAAAATGAAGCGACGTACGACGGTTGCCAAGCGTTAGATTTATGATATGAAACATTTATCGTTCTGTTGATTTATGCATGAGGACAAACGATTCAATATTTGCGCGCTTGGCAGCATATTCAGTTTATATCCTTCTTATGCTATTTCTATTACATTCTCAATCTTATACATAAGCAGACATATCATTATATACTTATGTCGAGTTTTCGTATGTGAACGATGGACAGCTAAAGCTATAAAAGTAAAAGTGATATATAAATGAATAAATTCATCAGTAACAAGCGAGAAATAGAAATAGAAGAGTATCTAAACATAAGAGCCAGGACGAATGAGAAAAAAGAACGGAATGCGGATGTGCTATATCAGTGCAACGAGAGATAGCATTGTTTCTCAATACACTATAGAATGAGGGTAGTGTTAATAAAATATAATTTTAAAATACTGATGTTCATTCATCACAATCTCATACTTTAATTTCAGTGACAATAATACGTGTTTCTATTGCTTATAATTTTATATGAAGGTTAGTATTACCCTACAATTTCAAATGAATCTGAAAATATTCGAGATTAAAGTTTGTCTATTGATATAACTTAACTATTTATCTTCTTAGATAAACCGTTGAATTAAGATTACTTTGTGAAAAAAAATTTCAATTATATTAATTTACGTTGACATTTCATCATCAAAAATGACCTGTAAATACCAACTGAAATGTTTTTGCATGTTACAAGTATAGAGATTCAGATCGTTTTTGGTAATAATACGCCTAATTTTACTAGTAAAATCGAAAAAATACTTCTTCTCAAAACTTAGTCGAAACCTCAGAAATTTAGCCTATAAGCGCTTTTAAAAAAAAAGAAAAATCAGAACATATTTCCTTCTTATTTCATTGAAACTTTAACGATAAGTTTTGAAGAGAACTGTTATTTTTTGTAAGCACACGCATATTGCAATAATCAAGCGATATATATGTATATATATTAGTGATGAGACCGGTTCGGTTTGAGGTTTTCATGAACTCATATAAGTTTAATATATAGTTGTAATCGAAAATTACAGCAAACATTTGCATTCCATTGATATTATCGATTCCCATGCATTATAAGGTATGGGTGGGAGGGTGTAGATAAGGTATCAAGACTACATTCACACACACATGTTGGAATAATAAATATAATTAATTTATTGACTATGGAAGACACGAATTCGTATCCTAATATTTTCAAATCTAAATATCTTGAAAAACATGATCTAGTAATTATTTAATGATATTAATTACATCAAATATTTGCATTTGGAATACCAATGAAGTTAAGATTATCTACACATAGCGATCATTATTAGTTGTCCCTTAACATTTCTAGTAATCAACATTTGATTCAATGAGTGAGAGTCTCAGTTACTTTGATAACGTTTTGCAAGGAAGAACCATTTTGTTTTCAAAATGATGCTCAATAATACATAAGTCGTCCAAGAAAATCATTCATATGAAAAGTCCCAAACAATTGATCGCAGGGTATACGTGTGGATTAAGAGAAGAAACACTCACATCTTTTTTCTGTCAGAGAAGTGAATACTTCATAATACAGTATAAAAACTTATAAAAATTGTTAAATCGTATTCAAACAATGTGTTAGACTTGGTTTGTTCTTATAGTCATTATTTGTGAAAGACATAAGTTTCATGTTAAATGAATCGATTGTTTATCTAATGGAGTCTTTTAGTTCTAATTAAACTGTCTCATTCTACAAAGATGTATATTTTATTTTACAGTAGTTCACAATACATGTATTGCAATGCTTAATAGACATCTTATAATAGAAATTACAAGAACAATAACAACTCAACATCACAACAAAATTCGTCATAATTAGGATTCTGGAAGACAACTTTTTGTGTATAAATCGAATAGGTTTTCGTAAAAATGGAAAAGAATGAAGAAGACTGAAAAACATGGTTCATAAATTTATTTCGGATCAGATGTGACATCTACTAAATTTTGAAATAAAATTAGCAAAAGAGAAGAAAAGAGAGATTATAAAAAAGAGAAAAGGGAGAATATGTCTGAGCCTCAGGAATAGGATTTCTTCCCATATTGAATTTATCGTAGTTATCTGTCATCTATAATAATACAACAGGTCTATTCTATATGATACTATCAACAGCCAGGTAAATGATTTCTTTTTAAAATAAAGTCCTCACAATCGCAGTACCTTAATGATCTTGATAAATTGATTTCGATTATCCATGTTAAAGTATAGGCAAAAACTGTTAGCATAATTCTTATGAAATAATATCTGTATACAGTAGAATTTCCTTATAAACTCATGAATTTTTCATGTAACTGTTTCTGAATAGACATATTGAATTTAACTAATAAAACTATATCTAACAAGATCTTTAATAGTATATATCAGTATTTGTTTAAAATTCGTATGCTATAAAAAGTACCGAACAATATAATAAAAATGACTTTTTTTTAATTATATATTCAAAAGATACTAATGGAATTTTTGATGGAAAATTGAATCTAAATTTTCTTCTCATAAATATCATTAAACTTGTATTACTTTCATATAGCAAGGCATTCTTATTGTTGTTATTACTTCTCATCTTCAAAAATATCATCTTCAATGTCATTTGTACGTCAATAGCTATCATATTATTATTAATAGAATTCATCATGTGTTAGCTTGACGTAAAAATATCATTCGAATAAAATCATACACAAAAGATCAAATAAATTATTTCTGATTTTTTTTAAATAATATTAACAAAAAATACTTATATATATAAATTACTCAAACATAATAATATAAAATTTAAAATGAATACGGTAAAGTTGATCGAGGGGTAAAAAATATGACCTATTTCCTTTGAAGAAAAGAAGCATATAATTAATTATTATATACGTACGTAATTATTAAATATATAAATAATTAGAAAGCATACCATGTTCTTTTGCTCTCGTCTAGATGCGTACATATTATTTCTATACTTTACGGAAACATTTTATATTATAGCTTTTTTCTTCGTCTTGTCTCAATTCAAATAATTTCGACAAAGTCTCATTCTCAAAAGAAATAAATCCTCGTACAAAGAAAATTTTCAATTACATTTGTAGAGCAATCTGTTTCATAAAATATCAACTTTTATAATTTGCTTAACAGCAAAGAATATTTTTTGAATGAAATTAATGATAAACATTCATTTAGATAAAGTACATTGAGTAAAAGACGTGACAGTTTTTAAAGAAAAAGAAAACACATTGATTTTCTTATTTAATTATACAAATTAACGTTTTGAGAAGGAAAAGAATTCATCCAATCTGTTTAATTACTTGGACTCTGAAAGGTAAAGTAAGAGCTTTTTTTGTCTGTTGAATAATAAACTATTTGTAAAGAATTTATCTAGAAGAACGTTCCCACGTCTTCATTCTACTGATACATTGAAGAATTTGTGCATAGAATGGTAAGTAAGGATTTGATTTGTCAGTTAGCATATGCTTGTGAACTGAGGCAAATCTTATCAAGATTCTGTGATAGACTAGTGTCAGATTATGCTTCCAGGTATTCTGATAAGAACTATATATCAGTACATAGATACACTAAACTCAAATTAGAATTGAAAGAAATATTTCTAATAAAGATAAGTAAATGTTATCATCATTCACGAGACAAAACAAATAAAAGAAAATCAAATTTCTCTCCATATGAAAAATATGCTTTGATATTTTGTTTTTAAAACAGTTTCTAATAATGAATTGTTAAACATTTGTTTTTAATATATTAGACAGAAGATAAATTTTTTTGCGTTTAATTTTTAGATTTAAACAATATTTAGATCATTCTCATATACGTCTACAAAAGTATTTTTTGTTTAATACGGTTTCGAATAAGTATTAATTTATAAAGGTAGGTATTCCAAATCGTCTTGCATATATAGCTGTTGAACTAAAAGTCAATGAAGATGATTATTAAAATAGTTGTTCTTTTGATCTTTCTTTCATAGTACCTGGAACGGATTACAGCTAGTGCGCAATTATATGATAATGCAATCTATTTAATAGATTTTCATACATTATGATGTGATTTCATGTATTACAATGTATTGTTTATCAAATAATACATGAAATGAATTGTATTATTATGTAATTATATCCATTACTATGTACATCGATTGATGTTAGCAGTAGATAGAAATATATGTTGAATAATTTTACTGTTATAATGTTAACATGTACATCAGATGTCATATTTAAAAAACGTCGAAGATTATGTTGACATCTTTATATTTTTATAGAAAATAAATCTAGATATTGAAATATCTCATTTGACTGATTATATATGAAGAAAAAAAATGACAGAAGAAAGAAGTTAAGTCAAAATATGTCCCTTGAATTAATCTATGCGCTTTTCAACCTTTTCATTCAGGTATCTATTGACGTTGATTCTTTTATCATCAGTGATTTCTACTTTTTGTTTGTGTAGTTATTTGTTTTTCTACTCTTAAGA